CGCAGGAAACGCCTGTGCCGACTCAATTAGCTTGTAGAAGCTCTCCACCTTGACGATCAACTTCTCAACGCTTTACACATGCCAGACATTAGCATGCACCGCCAATAGTATCCGTTCTCGAATGAACTCACCGCTCCGTGAGGTTAGTCAAGGTTGACTCGGCTGATTTGTGGAAAGCCTCATCTCTGGCAGACAAACGATCGAGTCTCGAATTGCGCGACATGTTAGCATACATTCCCAGTGGCCGTATCCTGGCGATTGAACATACCGATCCGTGGTGTCGGAGAGAATCTGCTGCAGGGTACTGAAGTTTTCCGATAAGTAGGTCCTATGCAGGGGTTAGGTGATTCCGGGTAGTCTCACACCAGAGAGCTCTTGGTGACGGACATACTCCAACTCAAGGTTCTGTTCATGCATGGGTGAGGTGTTCTGGGGGTTCTCCCGGGGTCTTGTTCTACGAACGGATGGTCAGTGTGGAGCATTTAGGAATTCTCACATCCTCTTACATTGAGAGACCCTGGGTTAATTGAGGCCTGCCTGAGCCGCCTTGGAGGCCGTCTCTACCCTGCACCACGGCCATCGTCGGAGACTGTCTTTGCATTCTCACTTCCCCGCCAGCAGCCTGCTGATGGCCACCATGGCCGCCATTGCCACTCCTCTGGCCCGCACGCGGGTCACGGGTGAGGTAAAACAACCGGCGCTGCTGTACTGGATGGGATCCTCTGAGTGGACGCCCATTCGATTGTTGTGTATACATTATCGACGGCCGGCACGGTATGAGGGCAAGGGAGGGGGGCGGACAGGCCAAAGGCGAAAAGCAGCGCGACTATGGTGCGGAACTCATCTTGCAAAACAATCGTACTCGCTGATTGAGGATATCCTAAGTAGTCGCTGCAGCCCAGCTAATCATTGTATGTGCTGCTGCGGTCGCAACTCCAGCGGGTCTTAGAATGGAAGCTGGTTTAGGCTCAAGGAACGGAATGCGCTCTGATCCAGAAGTGAAGTTGGCGTTTCCCGCTTCACCAATTCGCGCCAGCGTCCAGTTGGTGAGTGCTTGTCCCGCAGGTACGTACCGCCGCGTCTAGATCTCCCGCTCATCGTGTCTGGAGTGCCGCAGAGTCTAGACCGATGGGGCGACGTTTCTTGCCAACGGCGAGGTGGAGCTTGATCCACAACCTGCAGGGACCGCACCGCATTCCGCCTCTGAGCCAGAAGCGTCCACGAGCAAGGGTCCACGAGCAAGGGTCCACGAGC